TTCCCAGACTCCCTTGTATCAGGAGACAGTATCAGGAATTTGTGTATCAAGGCTACACAAACCAGACCCAAGACAGCTGAAAGTACTTGGTTGTAGTAGCTGTAACACCTTATTCGTGATTCCAGCGTTGCAAACACTCAAAAACCTGCCATGCCTGCCTGCCAGCTCACTTTCTGGTGAAGCCTGTGAGGCGCCGAAGAGGTTTATCCTATCAAGTGCGAATCCCTGCTCTGTCTGCAAGCAACGTGCTAATGTACTTACCAAAGGGGCTACCCTCAACCCTAGGATGTGGAGCACACCACCTTTTGACATTCTAAACTAGAAGGGCCTTCAGCATGGGCCTATAGCTCTGTATTCCTTCTATACTTCCTGGACTGAGGGCTGCTGAGATGAGGGACTTAGAGGGAAATTCCACTAACAATGTTTCCAAGATAAGGTTTCTCTGAAGCTTTGGAGCCTCTCCCAGAACTAGCTCTGCAGACCAGGCTGGCCTCGAACTCACAGAGATCTACCTGCCTCTGCCTCCCAAATGCTGGGATTAAAGGTGTGCACCACATTGCCTGACTTAATGTTAAGTTTTTAAGCAAATATCTCCTTGGGCCCAGAGGATAGAAATACCTAGAAAACACAAAATACCCCATCATACACTCCTGTTCCCAGGAGGAAACCATCCACAGGACACTGACCCCATGAGCCCAGGAGGGGCTGGAAGGGCTTGTCTATTATCCCTTTGAACAAAGCATCTCTCTACCATTTTGGATGTCACTTGTCCCAAGAGCAGAGGTCACAGTGAGTATTCCACTTCCTTTTGCAGAAATGTTCCTATTATATGTGTTACTACAAGAAAACGATGCTCACTCAAGGTTCAGCAAGTTCCATTAGAAAGAAAACCCTCAAAAGGAGGCATGGAGCAGGTCCCTAGCCTGTCACTGCCAGAAGGGGAAGTCTCTTCACACAACAGCCCTGTAGAAACTGCAGTGTCTGCTAGAAAACACGTCTTCGTCAGTGAAAGCATGACAAAATATCAATGCAGCAGAGGGAAAGATGTTTCCTCTTTAAAAAAAAAACTGCAAATGCTGCCATATATACAGGAAGCCCCAAGACAGCCAGAGCCTTAAACCAGGCCTTGTGTTTACCTGCCAGTGATTCGAGACACTTGCCTCTGCATGCCTGGAAAGATGAAGGCTATCACACAGCTCACCAACCGAGACCCAAGCTTTGCTAGGTGACTGACATAGTTGCCCAGACATCAGAGACGTATGCTTGAACTCCACCAAACTGACAACATAACTGAAGCCAAAATCCTTCAGCACTGCGATCCACCCCATGAAGAGGCCTTTGACTAGGAGAATGCTTTTCAAAAATGATCCACCGAAAAGTAACCTCGTCTTTTCTCACTGGCCCTGAGACAGAATCCACCTCGAATGTGTTCCATGTGGGGCCAAGCATGTACTTTGTTTGTAAGATATCCTTAGTAGGCATTTACCAGACAAAGACAATAATATGCAGATAAATATTTAGGGGATTTGTGTGGTCTTTAGTTAAAGTCTGGTTTTGGGAGGTGGTGAGGCAGGGATAGGCTAAGAGGAGGATATAAGTCCAAGAGACTCTATTAAACTCTAATTAATGTTTATTAAAGGGCCGGTTTTGAAACACACACTATAGGAGAGCCTACTCCATCACAAGCACCCTTCAGGAACCACTCCTTCGCCCGCACCCCTTCAGCAAATATTTACTGAGCACCTGTGTGCGTGGCACTTTTTCAGCTGCCAGTGACACAGAGCAAGACACACAGATGAGCTCTTCCCTCTCCCATCCGTGCAAAGTGGCTAGCCTCATGGGCTTCGCAGACAAATTTTAGAACCCCAGTTCTATCGTATGACCACCCATGCAAAGCCATTAATAAAGTTAGCAAAGTTTCCACCATTAGCAAAGTATCCACCATTAACAAAGTATCCACCATTAACAAAATATCCGCCACTAACAAAGTATCCGCCACTAACAAAGTATCCGCCACTAACAAAGTATCAGCCATTAACAAAATATCCACCATTAACAATGTATCCACCATTAACAATGTATTCACCATTAACAAAGTATCCGTCACTAACAAAGTATCTACCACTAACAATGTATCCAACATTAACAAAGTATCCACCATTAACAAAGTATCCACCAATAACAAAGTATCCACCACGTGCAAAGAAGGATGACACTAAGGATTTGAGGATCTCTGATCGGCTATCTTCTGATTTCTTTCAGAACCTTGGTTTCAACTGGCAATGATCTTGTCTGCTTTGATTGCTATCTAACCCCTGCACATCTGCCAGATGTTAACCATTAGCCAGTTGGCAAAATTCCCCTGACAGAGGAAGTCCCACATAACAATTCGAGATGGAGGGCTCTAGGGCTAATGAGATGGGGGAAGGAGCAACAGAGTCTTTGCACCCAAGCAGGAGCCCAGCCCTAGAGTCCTGGATGGAAAGTCCCAGGAGGAGCATGTGAACACAGAACTGGAGGTGCGGAGCTGGTGTGGGTGGGGAGCCTGTCCTCACTGTCCTTCTACTTCAGGTGATGATTGCCCACCCTGCTGAGCCTCCCAAGGGATCTGGGTTCTCTCATCTGACAAGAGCACCACACAATTTGAGTGAAGCTGTACCATCTTATTTATTACCTGCCTAATAATTACCTTATTTATTATCAGCCAGTCAAGCTGGGAGGTTCCATAAGTGACCTCTGGTCCAGTTATTTGCTTTGCCCTCAGGGGCAAAGAGCACACGAGTCAAAAGAACGTTGATTCTCCTGGGGGCAGGAGTAGTGATGAGTCCCTAACTGCCCTTTCTGTAGGGCCAGCCCCACTCCACCTTCAAGACATTGACCTTGGAAGAATGACACTGGGGATTTGCAGCCTGGAACTCCATTCTGTGCACGTGCGTGTGCGAGATTGAGTGTGTGTGTGTGTGCCTGTGCACACACAAGTACAGGTGTGTGTGTGTGTTAAGGCCAGAGGTCAATGTTGGGTGTCTCCATACTTTTTGAGATTTCCACTTGAAATTTGTTCCCTCTGAAGTAACTGCCTCCATTCCTCTGTGCCCGCATGTGGGGATGGGCCCCACTTACCTGGAACCCAGTGTAGCCCTCAGACCCTCCGTTCCCCTTACTCATCTGAGAGCAGACTCAACATACTAAATGCCGAGCCATGGTGTGTAACAGCTTAGTTCTCCACTAAAGTTAAACCAACTTTGAATAAGAATAAGAAAAATGTCAGCGGACACCTTGTTCCAGGCACCGTCCTACATACTTTATGAATGTAACCTCACTCATCCTGCTGACTGTCACACGAGGGATGTTACAGCAGAGATGCTGAGCCCAGCATCATGAGCTAAGATATGGCAGAGCTGTGATTAAAGTCTGGGCAATCATACATATACCAGCACCCAACTCTGAAGCACCCCTATAATTGGAGAACTACAGGGCTGAATTTAGCCCCGGCCTACAACTCAGCAACAGAACTCCAGCCTGTGCACTGGGTGGGAGTCATGAATAACGGGCGTGGTTTGGTTACAGTGGGTTGATCTTTGTGAGTCCTTCAATGTAAACACAGGGACAGCACAGGAAGCTGTGTGTCTCAGATATTTCCTGGACAAGGAAACAGGACTGATTACAACCAAAAGCCAAAGGGCAATTCCACAGTGTCCTTTAGAACAGTAAGTGACTCATTGAGAGACCATTTCCCCATTCCTGATATGAATACGAACATAATACCATTTTTAAAAAATGGTATCTTAGAGTTAGGACCTCTACTGCTGTGCTGAAGCCATGGTAAGTCGTATAAAGCAAGCATTTGACTGGAGGCTTGCTCAGTATTTCAGAAGGTTAGCCCACCATCATCACAGCAGGAAGCAGATAGGCATGTCACTAGGGCAGCAGCTGAGAGTTTTACATCCTGACCCACAGCTGCTGTGGACTTTTGAAACCCCACCCCACCCCAGTGACACATCACCACCAAAAAGGCCACACCTCCAAGATAAAGGCCACACTTTCAAATACACGAGCCTATTGGGACCATTTCCATTCAAATCAGTATGAAAGGAAAGGACACATTCCTCATATCTACCAGAAACTGAATATGAGGAAATGGGATCGAAGCCGAAATCCTGGGAAATATAGTTTCATATTTGCTAACTTGACCTTCTCTTAGCCTCTCTTCTCACATGGTAATGTTCTGAGCGAGTCATCTCTGAGTCATGCTAAGGAACGTTGAGAGGCATGAAAGCCATGAACTGCTACCAGTTTGTGATTAAATGGGAAGTTATTCCTGTTCTAGGCTCCCCTTGATCTATTGCCAGTGGTTCAGTGCGCATCAGACATCCAACAACCGAGGAAAATAATTCAGATCCAAATGACGATGCCTCGCAGGTAGATCAAAGCCACGCATGGCTCAAACATTCCTCACAGCCCTCTAAGTAAACACAGAATGTGCTTTAAATGGCCCCAAGGAAGGCTTTCATGATGAAAAGCTGAAACACCAGATAATTCTAGAAACCAGAATGCCTCTCGTTATAAATGTCCCTGGATGACCCTGATGAATAAAACCCAGGACTCACAGGTAGACTAAAGACACACCAACTACCACAACACAACTTCTGTTCCCCAAGTTCATCTCCTGTTTCTCCTAACACATAGCTGGGCCATTTATCTATGCCCACTGTAATTAGCTTGAGCCACTTAATGTAGGTAGAGATGAGGGACACCACTCTCAGGGCTGGAACACAGTCTCTATCCCCTCATCTGTCAATCACATAGAGGACCCTACAGAAGACTCCAAGGTCCCACGATGATGGAATCACCAACTGACTGACCACACAAAGTAGAAAAGTGAACATCATAAGAGAGTGTGTTTTGTTACTGCAGCTAGTATTTACCGTGCTGACAAATCTGACTTGCTTGGTCATGAACACACTGCAGGAAAGCCGTTAACCTGTGGCTTCTGCACCTACCTATGTCGTTGCCGATGCAATCGATGATCAAGCAGATACCCAGGGGCTTGCTCTGCATCCTGTAACTCTCTTCGTGTATAAGCTACAAAGAAAGGCAGGCATAATTAGAGATGCCGGCTACCTCTCTGCTCCCTTAGGTCTCACTCCTGTACCATCTCATCTTCTGGACTGTTTTAAGCATCCCTTTGGCAAGTGAGTCACTCAACAGACATGGCCTAAAGTCATCTCAGTTGGCATTTCCTATTAATGTCAGTTTTTTTTCTCTGTTCCCGAGAATGTGTTTCAGGCAAACAGCTGCTTCGGCTCTTGCTTAATTTTAATTAATAAGCTTCATTATCTCTTTACATGAGTCTTAGCTTTGCGGAATAAAGAGAATTTGGAAGAGAGAAGAAAGATGGGCCGTGCGTCTTCACGGAAGCCTAAAGCAGCAACGAGAGACATCTTTCTAAGCTGGTACAAATGACAGCCTTCCACAGCCTCCTAAGAGGAGGTTGTCAGTCCAGACAAAAGCCAGGGCGCAACACAGTTCACCGGGATGTCACTGCCCATGGTATGTTCAGTAGTGACCCGGCTGAGACATGAGCCGACACTTGGAACCTCCCTGCATTCCAAAGTTCATTCATGAACGTCTTTTTTTTTTTTAATCTCTGCTATATTCAAGGCTCCTGACCAATGAATTTTGCACAGGCACCCAGTTGTCATGAATCATTTTTCAGATCATTTTTGGCTGTTTTTTGGGTTTGTTTTTTAGGATGTCAGTGTTCTAGCAGATACTTGTGTATACAATACCGAATCAGAGAATTTGTTCTTTACCTGAGGCAACAAAGCTCCCGATTCCTGAATGGATGTCTTCACCGGTTTTCCTGGGGAGGGAGGGAGGGAGGAAGGAAGAGAGAGAGAGAGAGAGAGAGAGAGAGAGAGAGAGAGAGAGAGAGAGAATTGTTTACAAGACAAAACTTAGTCACACCCATTCTGGCTGAGTTCTTTCTATCATAACTGAGTTTTTTGTTTTGTCTGCTCATTTCTTAACTACTTATTCTTTTTCCGGCTAGACTCAGCCCAAAGTTCCAACCTCACATGGAAAAGCCTGGTTCAAAAGAAAACTCAAGAGCACCTGCTATTCCAGGATTCCGTAGAAAAACCACTCCACGCAAGTGTAAGAGGGCTCTCCCTTGACCTCCCCCAGATAGCCAACAGGTGGCTGGCAGGGTTTTAACCTGATAAGGAGAATTCAAAACTCTGACTTTGCTATACCAATAGCTTTCCTACATGGGCCCAAACCCTGGACTGCATCTAAAGGGAACAGCTTGGAGCACGCGGGAAGGGAACGCTTCTGTGTTCTGTGCTATGTACAGAACAGATGGCCAATGTTTTCATAGTTCCGTGAGGCTGGGGGATGACAAAATAAAATGTCAGCAGCCAGACAGCGCACAGCACGCCTGGAAAGTGGAGAGCCCACGGCCAACTCCGCTCCACAACAATGACTCAATTAGCCTGCACAAGGGGGGGGGGGCTCTGGGTGCCGGAGCCACAAAAGGGCTGGCTCACACCTTCGTCCTGGCTGCTAGTTCAATCTCTAGGCCGAGGCTGCGGCAAAGTGAGAAATGACGTCTAAAGATAAAACGAAGGAGGAAAAAGAAAAAAGAAAAAAAAAACAGCCCTGCCAGAATCTGTGAGGTTTGGGGGAAACAAATGGAGTTTGTTTGGTTTCAGAGGTGGGTTCTTGATATGTAGCCCAGGCTGAGCCCAGCTCAAATTTGGTTCCTCCTGCTTCAGCTCATGAGGGCTAGGATTGTCGTCCTGTGCTACCACCCTCAGCTTTGAACCTGAGTGTGTGTGTGCATGTGCATGTGTGTGTGCATGTGTGTATGTGTGTGCGTGTATGTGTGTATGCATGTGTGTGCGTGTGATGCATGTGCGTATGCATGCGTGTCCGTGTATGTGCATGTGTGTGTTGTGTGTGTGTGCATGTGTGTATGTGTGTGCATATGTGTGTGCATGTATATGTTATGTATGTGTATGTGTGTGTATGCGTGTGTATGTGTGTGTATTAATTAGGTTCCAGAAGGAACTCTGGTTACTGCCCAGCCTGCTGCACCCTTGGCGTGTAGTCAAACTATTCTTCCTTAGAAGAGATGTGTGTGGCACGCCTATCTCAGTGACATGCCTATCTTGGTTAAAGATTTAGAACGCTCCTGACAATAAGAGCCAGTCACCGTCACCATCAAGATCTTTCCATAGGAACCATTTGGAAGTCCACAATGACCTGAACACACAGCTTGATTATCTTAAACTTCTTAGTTTAAGGCCAACTTAACCAGATATTTTCCCTTTTATTAGTGAGCCAGGACCAGTCCAAAGCGGAAAGGTGGCTCTCGTCCGTTGTGGACCGCGAGTACTTACCCGGACCAACCTACGCTAGGGTCAACAGCGGAAAGAACATGTTTGCTTTACGTTCCTAGACTAGCATGCCGGATCTCCCATTTTCCACTTTCTGTTTTGTTTTGTTTTGTTTTTCAAGACAGGGTTTCCCTGTAGCTTTGGAGCCTGTCCTGGAACTAGCTCTTGTAGAACTCACAGAGACCCGCCTGCCTCTGCCTCCCGTGTGCTGGGATTATAGGCGTGCACCACCACCGCCCGACCCGTTTTCCACTTTCAACGGCATTCAGAGTGCTAACTCCTCCACCTCAGCAGTGTTTTAAGAAACAGGCTGTTAGTTCAGGAATTAATTCCGTTCTCAACAGTTTTCACCGGGAGAATGTTAGGGAGGGAACGGCAGGCGTGAGCGGCACCATCTGGCTGGTCGCGGGTAAAATGGTTCTCAGCTTCCAGGAGCACACAGAGCCTGAGCGCTACACAAACTGCATGGGCAATGCTCCATCAGGGGACAAGGCCCCCTCAAAACGCTCCGGCTGCCCCACTCGTGTTGAGTTCCTCTACTGCGCACACAGCAGATTCAAAGGCCCTCGGGTAGCTCTGCCGCCCTCCATCGCGGCATAGAGACCTGCTCACGCTGGTTCTAAGCACGGGCTACCTCACCGGTGTGGGGCTGAGTCTTGACTCTCACTTTAGAAAGGTCCCCATGCAGAAAAGAAATGCTTTAAAAAAAAAAATGATGCTATAAGCCAGCTATGGCAGCACGTCCCTGCAATCCCAGCGCTCACGAAGATTGAAATGGGATGATTGTTGTGAGCTTGAGGCTAGCCTGGGCTACATCATAAATACCAGCCCAGCCAGGGATACACAACAAGGTTCTATCCCTAGTAATCAAACAAACAAAAATTTAAATAATGCCGAGAACTCAAGCTGATGTTTTAAGAATGAAGAGAACATATTGGTTGAAATGAACAATACTTTAATTGCCTTTTTTTACTTTTTATGGAAGACATGGTCCAGATTAACCTTTCTTCCTGCTGCTGGATATTTGGTTTCCCATGGTTCTCTATCATGGCTGGGTTAACATTCAGCATGGTCTGGCTATAGCTCCATTTCAGAAGCACAAACGCCACACGTCTGACAAACACAGCCTAGGCTATGTGCCTGATGGAGGGGGTGTTATCCAGATTAGATGAGCTAAGTCAGAGTCGGTGAGTTCACCTGAAGAATGTGTTTTACTGCCTTTTGGGAGCTTAATTAAAATATGCGGATAACAGAAATCACCAGCCCCACAATGGAATTCTCCCCCTTTTTTCTTTCCTTTCTTCTTCTCTTTCTTAGATGACAGGGTCTCACCACATTTGCTAAGGAAGCTGGTCTCGAACACCTGGGCACAAGAGTTCCTCCTGCTACAACCTCTCAAGGAGCCATGTCAATAAGCAGGGACCACCAGACACCACAGAGTGAATTTTTTTCTTTTCTGGTACTGGAGATGGAACCCAGGGACTCATTCACACCAGTCAAGTGTTCTACCACTGAGTTATACCTCAGCCCCTTGTACTAAAGCTAAGAAGCATTTATAAAGAATAGCTATAAGAGATTGGGGGCCTTACTTTGAATGTGAAGGTGTTCCGCAAATCTTTGTTCCTTACTTCGCCCATTCTGGAGCTTCAAATACAAAAAAAGAAGGTCACACTGTTAGTTTTTTTCAGAAGCTCACTATGTTACACCTCTTTGAATAGCTCAATATTTTTACACGGGGTTGGGGGGGGGGAATAAAAATATCACCTTCTCAGCTACCTAAATATGAACTGCAGGGACAGTTAACCCTGTAAGTTCCACACTACACTGTCAGAGATGAGATCAACTCTCCCAGTCAGAACTAAAGGCATTTTGAAGCTGGAACTAAACTTGCACAGCTCTAAGCTGTTACAGTACATCATGGGTGCTCGAACAGTCCGAACTCAGCGCACTCTGGGACAGAGATTGACATTCGGTGCCTCCCGTGAACACCAGGGCAAAGTGCAGCCTGGCTAGAAGTGTGAGCAAGTCATTTTACCTCTCTGTCTGCTTCTTCATCTGCAAAGGTGAGGATAAGAATAGAATAGTACCTGCCATACATAGATGGTAAGGAGGGTTGTTTTTTTAACGTATATGTGTTTTGCATGCATGTATACCTGGTGTCCATGGAGATCAGAATAAGGCACTGGATCCTCCAGGACTGGAGCTACAGACAGTTGTGAGCCACCAGGCAGGTGCTGAGGATGGAGTCTGTGCTCTTGAATGCTAAACTCACTCACAGGCTTTAGATGCAAAGGGTGTTTATGGTGTTTCATTACTCAGAAACCCTCAGCACAGTCTAGCATGCAGAGAAGCACTTGATAAATGTCTATATCCAAAGCCCCGAGTACAATCTGCAGCACTCCTAAGTAAATGAATACATGATGTCCTATCATGGCTACAAGATAAGTGATATGTGGGCATGATTCTCGACAGTCACATACTCTGCATGAACCACTCCTGGGAGATTAAACCGACCTGCTTCTCTCATCTCAGATGACAGGAACTACGCAAGATGACATCACTTCCTACCACCATCTGACCACTGGTATTTCAACAACAGCGACCTCTTTAGCTCTCCTACCCAAAGAAGGAAGTACATTATCTAGTAAGCTGCTTCTGAGAGTACCTCTGTGTGCAAACTGGAGACATGCAAGCTATGGACCCCCCCCCCAATAATCCTGACTTAATCAGAGCCTAAATCTTGTGAGAAAGCTACCAGGTTCATTTGCCACGGTGCCAGCTACTAAACGAGAGATCAAGTCGTGTGCCAGACACAGCAAGGGTAAAGCGAGATGAAGCGCAGAGCATGTTGGGTCCCAAGCAGGCTACATGAACAGGGAGGATGCTCACCTGCATTGGCAGGACAGAAACACAGTCGTGAAAACATAGAAGGATTTTAACTAAGAATGTTAGTGTAAGTTATAACAATAGGTAGTGGGAGAGGAGAGCTCAGAAAATCCTAAATCCAGCTGTCTGTGACTTAGTCATCTATCGGAGACTAGAGGGACAAATTAAAAACTGTACCTAAGCAATGAGAGATGAGTGTGGTTTATAGATAGATCAGGAGATTGTGGGATGAGAAGAGGCCGATCCTGACCGGCTCTATAGGAGATACAAATACACAGTCACGGTGGTTTAGACATACACATCTTTATCGTTCAGTTCGTGGGTGGGGCAGTGCAATTCTTAGCAGCCAGTCTGTTGCTCAGTGGTACCTCCTAGAGCTAGTGTCCTCCCAGAAACTGTTTATAAACTGGGAGGGATGTTTTCATGATAGACACTCATAGAAGTGTTTATAATTCAACCGCAAAACTTAACTCGAGTCTAAGTATCCACCCTGAAGTCCACATAACTTTAAAAGGGGTTGGGTTCATAATATACCAAGGTTTCTTCTCGTGATAGAAGATTAACCAGGGGATAAGCACAAAATGAACTGTGCTCCTCAGAACACAACCACACGCGACCACGAGACACTTAATGATCTTAACTAGAAAGGGAAATCTTCTGTCTGTCACTCATTAAAGAAAAGTTTGCCAAATTTTAAATTAATAAGGCACGCTCAGTAAAAAGGCGAAAGGCTCGAGAGATGGCTCAGAGGTTAAGAGCACCAGCTGCTCTTCCAGAGGACCTGAGTTCAATTCCCAGCACCCACATAGTGGCTCAGAACTGCCTGCAACTCCGGTTCTAGGGGATTGGATGCCCTCTTCTGACTCCACTGGGCTCCTGAACACACACAGGTGTACAAAATCTCATACAGGCACACATGCATACAGTAAACAGAAAGTAAAAAGGAAAATGCGTTTTAAATTAATTTTTTTAAAAAAGAAAATGCACACAGAAGTGAGAATCAGGATATTTATTTTGCAACCATGTTTGCCACAACACAAGAACAGAGGCAATCTGCACATCGGAAAGAAAGAACTAAATACATGGTGGTGCGTGTAGAAAACGGAAGCTACGAGCCCTCCTGGCAGGGCGGGCCTACGATGTCAGCCTTTAGGAGGCTGAAGCAAGGAGAGGGTCCTTGCTCTTCAAGGCTAGCCTGGGCTAACAGTGGACTCCAGGCCAGACTGGGTTACATGTGTGATCTCATAGGAACCGTGTGGTACCAAGTCTGAGGATTCTGTGTTCAGAAGAATGGCAAGGCGTGCTACCCCTTGTCCGCTGTACATGTGTAAGCAATCTCTGCACGGTCCAGAGACCGGTCAAGAAGAGTCGCCTTAACAGAGGGTAACTGGGAGGACGTGAGTGTACGGGGGAGGGAGAAATCACAGTTTTAAGATCTCTTTGGTGGACGCTGAAGCTTTTCTTTCTACAGGTACATCCTATCTATTTTGACTTTAAAAGAGAATCTTCAAGGAAACAAACAGTGAAAAAATATCCAACTGTATAAATAGATACATTTGCTAATGCACATAAAAATAAGACTAAAAGAAAGCACCCAAAATATTAATATTAGTCAAACCCATGTAACAGACACGTGACACGTAAGATACTTTCTTGTTATTCATTAAACTCCCCAAATATATAATTAAACACTTTTTTCTTTTCTTTTTACTCTTTTTTTTTTTAATATTTATTTACTGTACATGAGTGACCCATCTTCATGCACACCAGAAGAGGGCGCCAGATCCCGTTACAGATGGATGTGAGCCACCATGTGGTTGCTGGGACTTGAACTCAGGAGCTCTGGAAGAGCAGCCAGTGCTCTTAACTGCTGAGCCATCTCTGCAGCTTTTTTTAGGTTTTTTTTTGAGACAGCTCCGTGCAGCCCTGGTTATACTGGAATGCACCACGCTAGTCTCAAACTCACAGAGATCCGCCTGTCTCTGCCTCCCAAGCTCTGGGATTAAAGGTGTGCACCGCTACCGCCCACCAGCTGAGCACTTTAAAGTTTATAATCATAAGAAGTTGCACACTTTTATGACTCCTCTGAAGCAGGTTCATGCTGTCAGTCCATACACCGGCTCCAGACTCACCCTTGAGTTATATGAAGGCTCCTTGATGCTCAAGTTTGGAAGAGAAGCCTGGAGAGAATTCACATAATTTGATCCTGCTCCTTGGCCTGTAAAGACAGAGAGAGGCGCTAAGATTCATGAACTGTCAAATGAGTCTTCAACAGTGCCTCAGATCCCAGCCAATCTTTTCAAATACCATCTGAATTCAAAGCATCCGCTCAGATGATTTCTGTTCACCAGTAAGAATGACTTGCCGGGCGGTGGTGGCACACACTTTTAATCCCAGCACTTGGGAGGCAGAGGCAGGAGGATCTCTGTGAATTCGAGGCCAGCCTGGTCTACAAGAGCTAGTTCCAGGACAGGCTCAAAAGCTACAGAGAAATCTTGCCTCGAAAAACCAAAAAATAAAATAAAATAATAATAATGATTGAAAGGATGACAAACTAATTTCAATCCCCAGGCCCCACATGGTGGGAGGGAAGAAATGACACCCACATAACATGTGGGTTTGTATATGTGTGCACACACACACACACACATAGACACACACTAAATGAATAAATAAATAAATGGATAAACATACTTTTAAATTAAAAAAGAAACTAAGGTCATTCCTAATTCTGTCGTTCAGAATGAGGGCAGATTGTCTTTTTTAAAAAAAAAATTATTTATTTATTTATTATGTATAAAATATTCTGTCTGTGTGTATGCATGCAGGCCAGAAAAGGGCACCAGACTCCATTACAGATGGTTGTGAGCCACCATGTGGTTGCTGGGAATTGAACTCAGGACCTTTGGAAGAGCAGGCAATGCTCTTAACCTCTGAGCCATTTCTCTAGCCTGCAGATGGTCTTATATATAAGCAAGTCTCAGTCATGACCTAACACTGTGACCCTGTGTTAGGTGTAAGGTAGAAGGGTCAACCCCCTTAATTAAAGAAAAAACCAAAGTGACCTTTTCCATGAGGTTAAGAGAAACGCAGCACACATGCAGGACAGCAATCAGACTCGGTGACACCACCCAGAGTTGGATGGTGGTCACCAGGTCCAACGTGGAGCTGGGCAACAGGGCTCTATCTATAATCAAAGTCCTAAAAGTTCACAGTCTCTCTGCCCTTTAAAAACAGACATACAGACTCCTTTAAAGACCAGAATGGTAAGACCTGCTTAGTGGCAATTTTCAGAGGTAGGGGATCTGCCAGTAGGTTTGGGATATTGGGATGAAAAGGTTATAAAGGACTATGATCTCTTGGTGTAGGCTAGAGGGGGCTGGGATGCTTGGGTTCCATTTCAGCCAGGCACCCAACAGGTGACATCTCTCCACCAACCATTCCTCCTGCGCACTGAAGATCACCGAGACACCGAAATTTCTTACCTGACTGCGCGTACTTCTGGATTTTGGTCTTCAGATCTATCCTGTGGATGCTCTTCAGGCTTTTTTCTAGTAAGTTCAATTGATCTGCAGCAACAAGATTCAGTTTCTCCAGTTCAATCACCAGGTCCAAGAAACTCTAAGAGAATCACCAACAAGAAACACACATCATGAGTGGAGCTAACACGTCCAAAGTGCAAACTCTAGGCCACCTGGTGGTCATAATATCAGGAAAAGGTGGCAAGACGGGACCTTCCGGTAACCCTTGGTGACAGTTCTGCTCAGAACCAATCACCCTCCTGAATTTAACTCAAAGAAATGGGGGCTAGGGCTGTAGCCCGGGTGGCAGAGTAAGCTTGCCTTGCATGTATGACACCCTGGGCTTGATCCTCAGCACCACACACCATAAGAGCTTCCCAGAGAGTGGGGGGCGGGGGGAAGAGGGTAGCTGAGGAAAATGTTGATATGGGAAATCCTCATAATGCCATTTTAAACTGTTTTCATCCATCCTGGATATTCTAGGCCATACTGACTCAAGAGATGATTCCCAGAAAGAGTGGGGCCCTTTGACTCATTCACCCTGAAGCAGCTGGGTGATTTCACGATTTCAAAAGCGGGCATGGCTTTGGATTTTATATTTGCTCACGGTTAACATTTGGTTACTTAACCACTAATCGTTATTTTACAAAGACAAGAGGCCTAATTAATTACATATAAATGGAAGGCGTTGATTAGGGAAATCCCCCCAAAAAACTCCCAGCTTTCACTTTCTTCATTTGATGTTGGAACATGATGTCTTCCTGTTTTTCTATAATCAAGGAGCCCGAGGGAATTCTAAAAGGCAGGGAAGCCAACTGGAAGACTTATTATCACCCCCAGAGATGGAGATTCTTCTTGGCCCGTCCTCAGGTTAACCGTGTCAGGAGTTCAAACACACCCTTACCGCAACCCAAGACAACTCTAAAACGGTCAGACGTCTCTATCCTCGTCACCTCCCACACACACCGCAAACCACCTCCACCCAGAGCCACTGAGGGGAAGTAAAACAGCCGAGGGCCAGCAAACGAGAGTGGACCAGCAAGCCAAGCCCTCTACGGCCAGGTCTCTACTCCACACAAGAAGACGGGATGTCCTCACTTGGAAGAGGGCTGTCAAATCAGAGAACTGACGTTGAAGCCAGCCAGGTCGGTGACTTTTACAGAAACCAGGACCAAATCTAAGCATAAAAGAAATTCCCAGGACCACAGGAGGAAAGAGTCCCAACCTAATTCCCTCTAAAAACCCATTCTCTTGCTACCAGGGTCACAGAAAAACTACCGGAGAAAGCTACTGGGACCATGGCAGCAGGCTGCCCACTTCTCTCTCTCTCCATACCACAAGGAACAGGCCCTACTTCTTTCTTTCTGAATTCTTTCATTCTTTCTTTCTTTAAGGTTTATTTATTATGTATGTGTGCAGTGTTCTGTCTGCATGTCAGAAGAGGGCACCAGATCTCATTACAGATGGCTATGAGCCACCATGTGGTTGCTGGGAATTGGACTCAGGACCTCCGAAAGAGCAACCAGTGCTCTTAACCTCTGAGCTACCTCTCCAGGCCCCAGAGCCCTACTTCTGACAGCTCTTTGGAACAGGCACCAAGAGAACACAACTCACCTTGTCCTTGGCTCCCTTGCCTCGGCCTGTGTAATCTCTCATAAGGAAAATTAAGGAGGACACGTCGGATTTATCCAGATTCTCGCCAATCTCCATCATCAGCACCCTGTAAATCCCAAAAGTTTCTTTAGTAAACCCAGACAAGAATCCAAGAGCCCATCCCTCACCAAGGCCAAGAACTTGACTAATTGTTGTTCCACAGAAAACGCCCCCAACTCTATAAAACAGGAAGCCTTGATAGAAATATCCTCCAAGAAACTATAAGAAAATTCAAAAGGAAAGCTCATTTTCTGTTTTTTGTTTGGTTTGGTTTTTAGAGATGGCTCTTGCTGTGTAGGGACTATCTTAGCTCTCCCTGGACAGAGACTGGCCTCAGACTGCACCCATCCTCATGTCTCTGCCTCCCTCCCAGGTGCTGGAATTACAAGCGTGCACCACACCTAGCCTTTCCTTTGTTTGCAGTAGGACACAGCACTTCCCTTTCTAACCAACAGCTCCGAAAACAACTGTGCAAAAGACTTCCCTGAAAAAACCCCTCGGTTCCCAGAAGTCATAGTGAGACCAAAGAGATGAGTAACAGGAAAGACCAAATTCAGAGTGGCCTTGCCCTCTGTTGACCACTGGTCTAAAAACTATACTTTGAGTCTCAGGATTCTCTAAAGCAAAGAAACATCTCTGACATCTCTGGCCCACACTTGAACTTGAAAGTTAAAAGACGTCCGCCATGGAGCTTCTGATCACCAATGTCTGGTCTGGAAAACCCCTCCCAATGAGTTCACCCCTGCTCTGACTGGGGTAGCCACCACACTTTGTCAGAATGCCTGTGTAGAAGGTGGCTTTCCCATATTCTTTGGTATTCTTCTTGACCCTGAGCTTAGCTAGGCACTGGTGAAGCCTGCCGAGCAGACGGGTGAATAGGTGGACCTCAATGGCCAGCCTACTCTAGAGGGCCTGACACGCCCATCACTACCCACTGCACCTGAATACACTCCCTGAGGCCAAGTGAGTGTCCCCAAAATGTGTGAGATCAGTGGCATTGGCTGATGGTCGGACAAGGGAAACTTTACCAAGGGTAACAATAACCCCAAGCATCTCACACAGAAAGCCACTTGGTACACTATCCAAAGAGAAACTTGTGGAGCTCTGTCACTGTCTGTGGTGCTGGGGCTGAACCCAGAACCAAACACACCCTAAGCAAGGGCCTATGGCTGAGCTATTGCTCAACACACATGTCCCTGCTACCTTTTCAGACAGGGTTTTATTAAGTCACTCAGGCTAGCCTTGAACTCACAACCTTCCTGCTTCCATCTCCTGAGTAGCTGGGATTTCAGGTCTTGGTCACCAAGCACAAGTAGCTGGGCTATATTACTCTTTACTTTGTAAAGTTAGTAACTGGCTCAGCCTGGGTGGGCTGTAACTGGTCCGAGGTTTAACACAGTCCTTCCAACACCTCGCAGCACTTTACAAAGCCCGTGCTGCCTCCAGCTCTTTTCAGTACTTTTCATAATAATAAAAATAAACATCCTCAAATACATATTACACAATCAACAGAACTAGCAGCCTGGAGGAACAGGAAGCAATTTAAAGGAACAAGGTCTCCTTCTTGCCTCAGAATACACAACCCTTCCAGAGGCTCCCTCATATGGGGAAGGAAGTCCCCCGAGGCTCTCGGACTTAGGGACATAGATGGTCGTCCTGGTTTAACCAGAAGGGGGTGGAAGGCAGTTCCTTGAAGAAAGGTCCCCCTTGGCCCCCTCTGAAGCAGAGAGGCAAGACGATGGGAAGGGAACCCACCCTGAGGCTTTTCCTTGGCTGGCTGCCCAGGCAGAGGAAGAGTTAGAAAGGGTCACAGCTCTGGCAGTAGGGAGGTTACTCACTCTTGCTACTTTATTTCTCAGTACCAGAATTTCCCAAAGCACCGCAGATCCCACGCTACTGGGGACTGGCAAGAAAGAGCAGCGCTACACTGTTTCTCCTATCTTCCTCTTGTCAGTCCGGCATACACAGACTATCTGTCCCTTCCACTTCCATGATGATCTTTTCCCCAGTAGCGTACCTGGTAAGCAGCCCGTGTTTTATTGAATTCAAACAAGCTGTGAGCCTACACCCGAGGCAGGAGGATTGCTATGGGTTGGAGGCCCAGCCTGGACTACACAGGAAGTTCCAAGCTAACCTGAGCTATAACGGGCTTCTGAAAAACACAAAGCCAACCAACAAACAGAAATCCAGAGCGTTCCGCGCCGTAAAAGTGATATCGCGGATAGTTGGATCAGAAGGAAGCGGAAGTGAGGCTGTTCTTCTCATAGCCCACACCTTCTAGACAGCCCGGCTCCCTCCCCCGTGTGCAGCCTGGCTCAGAGCTCAGAAGTTACCTATAATCAGAAACAAGGTGAGGGTTTCTGCGGAGGTGGGCCTCCACGGCCGCTTTGTCCGTCTTCAGTATCTTCTTAAGCAGGTCGAAGCGCCTCACTCTGTAGAGCAGTTCAGCCAAGGTAGCCAAGGAGAGCTGGCCTCTCTCACTTAAGGTGCCCAGGAGCTCCCTGACGTTAGGTGGAGCCAGGTTCTCAGCCACATCTCTACATAAGAAAAGCATCGTTTCCTTCTCCTCGTCGTCCAGGGACTCCTCCACCTGGTGGATGACCTCAGCAGACACGGGGTACAGGGCCATGTTCCAGAAATCAGCAGCCAGGGTCTCATCCAGCGTCTATCCACTTAGCAGGGCTCCGCGCACAGCGAGTCAGCAACTTCATTTTGGAGGCCTTTCTTCATTTCTTTCCCGGCTCTTGCAGGAGAGGCACGCTGCGGTGAGAGGACACTTTTAATCCTGCCGGATCCCTTCGCCTAAGAGCTGAAGTTCAGGCTCTCCCTTCCTTACTGGGTCTCTGTAAGCAAGGGGATCCAGTTCACCCCTTTAAGTCAGGAGAAAGAGAGCCTCAGCAGACAGAGTCAAAAACTGAGCCAAAAGCCAAAAGACACAGAAGAAAACCCAGACATTCAAGAAAATGACATCAAAGGCAAAATTACCTCCAAAAATTCCCACATGGTTTAATCAGAATGAAAAGCAGGGTAGGGGAAATCACTAGCTAGGAAGCTAATGACTAAAGTTACCACGAGAGGTCAGGGGAAGAGAAAAGTCCGATGACTAAGCAGCTGATTTGAGGAGTTGCCACCCACGCCCACTCCTTAGCCCCTCCCACCTGTTCTCAACAAAAGCAGATTTTGGCAAAGGGCGCCTCCCTGCAGGGTCCTCACCAAATGAGGTTTCTGTCCTTTCCTGCGTCCCTTGCCCCTCCTCAGTTGCTCTCCTACAGTTTTCCATACACCCGGCACTCACAGCTGAGGCTCGCCCGCAGCCTCGCCCACGGGACCCTCCAGAGGGGCTGGGCTAAGCGCTTCCTGAGTTTAAACCAGGTCCTCGGACCCTCTGCCCCAAGAACGTGCCAGGTCTCCCGACCCTCAACATACTGCTCCCTGGCAGCAAAGACCACCAAAATTCTCAATGGCATCATGGGAGTGGACGGAAGACCTGGGGGGCCCACAGGTCTGAGTGCCCGGCTCAAGGCACGATTTCGTAACCGTCAATTTCTTCCGTCAGAACCGAGCAGTTTTCAGATTTGGACTATAAATCTTTTGGTTTTGACTTTTAAAATACAATTGTTTGCTTGCTTGTTTGTTTATACAGGGGAGGGATTTGTGGGCATTCCACCTGCAACTGGAGGCCACAGGATAACTTTAAAGAATCAGAGTTCTCTCCTATTATGTGGGTCCAGGGATCGAATTCAGACCATCCCCCATGGCAGCAAGCACCTTTACCCACTGAGCCATCTTGCCAGCCCTTATACTGGAGACCTTGTCCCTGAGTAACAAAACAAAACAAAACAAAAAAGCCCTCTGAACTCAATGGAAAAGAAAAAAAAACAGAAACACAATCTAACTCTTAGATGATAATGGTTTCACCTATTTTATATGATGATATTTAAGTATTCATCTAAGATTGGTGAGGCTACGCCAATCTCAATATCCATTTATCTGAACAACTTAAATAGGATTATTTATAAATAAAGGAATAGAACTGACTAAAACCATCACCCTACATAGAAAAAGCTGTGCTCGGAAGACTTTTCTCAAAAAAAGTCTCAGTGACTAATTGTGTGATTCTCAGATGTCAAAAAGTCTCAGAAGCCTGCAAGCCATCCCAAGGAGGACAACGCTGTAACCTAACTGCTACTTTCTGTAACAAGAAGACCGAGGAAGTTGTCTTTCTCTTCCCATCACGAGAAGGGTAATATTCTTATTGAATGCTACCCTAGGCTTAACCTCTAAAACGTTTGTGGGTCCAACAAGAAATAAGTAAGGGAAAAATAAAATATGAGACCATTAAACCTAAGAGCAAGAAAAGTCCAAACTATCCAGACATGCTTGAAAAAGGACTGAGCAAAACTAGTAGACAGGAACTGTTTAATCCTGCTTGCCAAGAAAGCCGCAAATGAAACAACACCACCAGTTAACACAGAACAATATCTGCCCAAGTCATCTTCTCCCACTATCAGGCCCATGGTGCCTTCTGCCTGTCACAGATGCTCACAAGCTTCTGTGCTGACGGAGGCAGGGGACACGGGGTGGGGGTGGGGACAGATAAGGCCGGGACGGCGGGAGGGATGGGACACGACAATTTGGCAGCCAAATCCCAGTTACTCAGAGGCAACAGCTGCTAGGAACTATCAGAAGGAGAACACAGATTCCCAGACAGAGCCAGGCCACTAAGACGCAGCAACCCTCCAAGCCTGGAAGCTGGGGCACAGTGCAGGCAGTTCTTGTGGCTGCTGGGATTGGGCACTTCACAGAGAAAAGCACAGAAAGAAGAGGTTGAACTATAATCTAAATAATCACTATTTTATTCTATTTTATTGTTTTTTTTTCTGTTAAGCCCAGGTCAAGAAATTAGCATAAGAAAATTCCCCAAGAAGTCAAGAAGGCCTTCAGCAGAAATGCAAAGCCCCACGCAGAAGGTCCCCTTCCTAAATGAGAGGATTTTTTTCTTTCTTTTTCTGCAAACAGGACCTTGCCATGTATAGGTTTTATCCTCCTACAGCCATGTGGCACAGGATAGCCTGAAACTCTCTATAAAAGCTGAGGCTAGCCTCAAACTCATGGCAATTCTCCTGTCTCAGCCTCCAGAGTCCTAAGGTTATAGGGCTGCACCATTATCTCAAGCTGAAGGGGAAACTCATGTATCATTTAGCATGAGCAAAATTACAATCAAATGTAGCACAGATAATAAAAACCCAGACTCAGATATTGGGGTTCAACCTAAAGATCAGAAAAGCAAAGCAGCCAACCACTAGAAAGACTTATTTTTTAATTTATTAGATTTTTAAAAAATACCAATCCAAGTTCCCACTCCCTCCCCTCCTCTCAATCCCTTCATACATCCTCCCACCCCACCCCCATCCACTCCTCAGAGAGGGTAAGGCACATTGCTTTGCGGAAGGTCCAAGGCCCTCCCTACTATATCTAGGCTGAGCAAGGTATACATCCAAAGAGAATAGGACCTTTTATGGCTACAAAATCTCCAGACCAAAGGGCGAGCTTCACTGAGTTCCTGTCTCTTCCCCTTATATTCCTCTCTCCACCCAGCCATATCGCTCCTGTCTCCACCTCCCTAGTGCTGGGATTAAAGGCACGGGATCACCTTTGTGTGAAGTCTGTTTCTCTTTTAGACAGATTCAATCTTGTATAGCCCAGGGTGGCCTTGAAGCTGGCTTGCCTCCAGAGTCCTGGGATTAAAGATGTGTGCCACCACTCCCTGGTCTCTAGAGTCTTATCTTTGCCCTCTGATCTTCAGGCAAGCTTTATTTTGGTGTTGGGGGTCCTTCTGTCTCTGTGTTGCTTTTATTGATTAATGAATAAAGAACTGCTTTGAGCCTATGGCAGGGAAGAACAGAACTAGGCGGGGAAAGCTAGGCTGTATGCTGGGAGAAAGAAGGCAGAGCCAGAGAGAAGCCATGAAGCCACCAGAGAGAGATGCCAGTCGGAACTTTAGCTGGAAAGCCACAGCCATGTGGTGGTACACAGATTAATAGAAATGGGTTAAATTAAGATGTAAGAGATAGTCAATAAGAAGTTAGAGTTAATGGGCCAAGCAGTGATTTAATTAATACAGTTTCTGTGTGATTATTTCGGGTCTAAGCTAGCAGGGCAGCCAGGAACCAACAAGTGGTCTCTCTCTTCTAACATTATTTATTAAAAGACAAATAATGTACCACTATATTTCCCACTTTTGTCTAAAATAAAAAGAAGGCTATAACTAATATAAGAAAAACTATATACAATAAGTGCAAGTATAAATAAAGGGCCCTTGTTCCTCTTGCAGAAACCTGGGGGTTTGGCTCCCAAAACTCACAATGCAATTTACAGCCCTTCATAATTAGAGTTCCAGGAGGAGTCTAGTGCCCTCTTCTGGCTTCCTTGGATACTGCATACACGCCTTGCACATACACAACCCTTCAACAATTAAAACCACCACAACAATCGACAAAGCAGAATGCAAATCTTCGGGGGGGCCTGCACCTGAGAGTCTACGTGAGTGTGCTCTGTGGGGGAGGGGGAGGGTTGCAGGAGATAAGGGTTTTTTTTTTTCTGCAGTTCTACAGGCCCCCAGTAGTAGCTCTGGGATCAGCTGGACAGAGGCTAGGATGCTGTTAAACATCCAACAATCTCCCATCTCCCTGAGATCAAGGGTGATGCATCTCTCTATAACACAGCACTGAGTCCAAGAAACCTCCCAATTTTTCAGTTCCTAAACTGAGCCTTTCTGTGATGTACTAATGTCTCCTAACTTAAATGCTCCATGCCAGAGACTGTCGCATGAGGTAGATTGCCCTCCCTTCTCTGAGGCTCTGTATCTGTGTTGTTACACACATGTGATCCCAGTGCCAAGGACACAGAGGCAGGGGGATGGCTGGGTTCACTGGGCAGCCAAGTTCCAGGGCAGCGGGAGATCATCCATATCTCAAATAAAACAAGGTGCTGGTTAATCTGAAAACAAAACGAAACTCTTGCTACAGTGTCCATAGAGATGCAGAATGAAGCACAGAAATAACCTCCTCAAATGCACAGCCGGTGTAAGAAATTAGGAGAAATTATAGCGGGTCCAAAAGAAAGCAGCTTAAAAACTACAGTACCAATCACCATATATTATCACATCACACAGATAACATGTAGGAATGACCCACACAAAAGCTATAGAAGACCTTACTGGAACAAACATGCATTATTAAAAAGACATTACCGAAGACCCAGATAAGTGGAGAGCCATCCTTTATTCATGAGTAGGAAGATTCAGAATAATAAAAATCTTAGCTCCTGGGGCTGGTGAGATGGCTCAGAGGCTAAGAGCGCTGTCTGCCCTTCCAGAGGACCTGGGTTCTATTCCTGGAACCCACACGGTGGCTCACAATCAGCTGTCACTCCAGTTCCTTTGTGTGTATGTAGACAAAGAGACCTTAGAACGAGGATGCCTAAAACCTTTCCGAAAGGACAGGGCAGACTTTACTGGTTCAGATGGCAGCATGGACTTTGGGGGTAGCTGTAGGAGTCTTTTTGTTTGTTTGTTTTATTTCTTTTGAAACAAGAGTCTCCTGTAGCCCAGGATGCCCTTGAAGCTGCTGGGATTACAGGGTCAGACCACGACACCTGGGATTTTGCTTGTTTTGGTGGTTCATTTCTTTGTTTTTTGTTTTTGTTTTTGTTTTTTTTGTTTTTTTTTTTTTGAGATGGGGTTTCACGTAGTTCTTCCC